GGTTCCTAGGTGATGTGAAGCTGTTATAAGAGACCTAATCTACACTGGTTCTCCAGCCTAGTTACGTAGCCTCCGTTGGCACCAATTTTTTGTTAGTGATTGTCACAGCAACACTTTCATTCGTAGATGTAAGAGGGGTGTAAGTATGAAGCATCTGAGTTTGGCGTTGGAACAACCACCATATAAGACTTAAGGAAACAGAAGGAAGAATTCTTAAAGTTTTATGTTGAATGTAATGAAAAATAGAAAAACACTGCATAGAGCAAAAAATGATGATCCTGATCGTTTATTGATGGTGTAGATTTGTCAGCGTCGGAGTGAATATTCATCTGGTTGGTTACAGAAATTTAAGAAAAGGTTTGTCATTAAATATTTAAAACTGTGTGGCGTTATAGTTGTTAAAACGAAAGAAAAATGTATATTTTAAAGAGAAGAGAAAAGCTTTTGGCTTTAATATCGATTTTTTAAATATATATTATACTTGATTTTTTTTTTCATAATTTTGCTACACGGGTTTCGGGACTTCTGACCTTCATCAGGCAAAAAGTGGTTATTTCCACATATAATTTAAAGGAATTAACTTTTTTTGATGTTTGGCTATTGTATTTTGTATAGTTAAATATCGGAAAACATAAGGAAAAATTAGTCTCTTTAAATAATATCTGGAAATAAACACTCTTCACCTGAAGAAGGTCAGAAGTTCCGTAACGCCTGCAGGAAAAATATGGAAAATAAAGTATAATATATATTTAAAAAATCAACATTAAAACAAAAAACGTTTGCAACTACTCTGTTTTCTTTTATATATATATATATATATATATATATATATATATATATATATATATATATATATATATACAGGGTGTCCTAAAATAATGTATACACTCTTTGAATCGTTATAACTTATTCAATTTATGTATTTTCAGTTGTAAATAAGATTAATACAAGAGAAAGAATACATATTTAAAGAATTTGAGAGTAAAATATACAAGAAACATAGAAAATTAACTTTAATAAGATAAAAGCTACTTTGGGCAATGGCAGAATGTTCATATAATGATGAGTTTACATCAAATGCTCAAAATGGTTACCGTTCTGTTCAATACACTTTTCAGATCTTGAAGAAATAGACCTACAAACGTCCAGTATCATTTCCTCTGGTATTTGGACACATTCTTCTTCAATTGCTACTCTCATTTCAGCAATTGTTTCAGGTTTCCTGCTGTAAACTTTGTCTTTTAGAACCCCCCCCCAAGAAATCCAAGGGTGTCAAATCTGGTGATCTAGGTGGGGATTCAACTGTCCCTCTTCTTCCAATCCATCTGTTTTGCATATTTTCATCCATATAAGTTCTCACATCACGCTAATGTATTATTAACTATTAATATCTAAAGAGTGTATACATTATTTTGGGATACCATATATATATATATTAAGACATTTTTCATGTTTATACGTTCTTTTTATAGATACAGATATTTTAAGTAAATGCTCTGTTTATAATAAACAGTATTAAACAACATTTACCGGCCTGAATGTCCGAGAAATTTCCTGTCGGAGGACGCATATTTTCTATGAAAATTTCTCGGACATTCAGGCCGGTAAATGTTGTTAACACTGTTTATTATAAAAAGAGCATTTACTTAAATATTTGTATCTCTAAAAAGAATGTATAAATATAAAAAAATATCTTAATATAGTTGTCGGACTTTGTCCATTTCATAATATATATATTATTTCGTCTTCCAGTTTTAACTTTAAAGGAAAAAATTACAGCCTGACGATGAAGGAATGATTCTTCGAAAGTACCTGCTTAACTTAACAAAATATATAGTAGAAACATCTGACAACAGTTTTATAAATGAGGATCACATTAATCAATGGATTAACAGTATTTTAATGCATACATTATATTCTACTAGCGAAGTGATTTCGCCATTAAACGCATTAATATTGCTGATTGATTCTATGTATGATTATATATATATGTGTGTGTGTGTGTGTGTGTGTGTGATATATATATATATATATGAGTTCATTTTCTCCAACAAAAGACATTCATTTCTGTAGTTCACTGCCAACAGCAAGCAGAAATATTTCTCCTCCCGATGATGGCCATTTCGGTCGAAACTAGTCGAGGAATCTAAATGGAATAATAATAATAATAAAACGAAAGAATATTAATCTACAACCCAGTGTGTCTAATGATTTTAATTTTTAATTTTTTAATTTTTTATTTTCTTATTGTTCAAAAAAAAAAAAAATATATATATATATATATATATATAATGGGAGGGAAAAGGATATAAATTCAAACATTCGGAAAACATTAATTTAAAAGAGGGATCAATACCAAGAGTAGAGAATAATATTCTTTACTTGTTTGTCCATATGTAACAGCTGTAAATGAATAGAAAATAAGAAATTATTTTTTTATTCGGAGATGAGACAGGCTACAAATAATTATAGGGACAGACAGAAAGATAGATAGATAGAC